TACAATAAGTGCACCACAAGTTGTCCTTGTAATCACGGTTCTGGGCCTTTGGTTGACCAGGTCTCCCATTTTCAAAACTGGTGCTCGTTCCACATTTGTGACTGAATTATTGCCACCACTAGCCACCATAGCCGAGCTGTCCGTGTTCTGTGGTTCAAGCATCAGACCTCTTCTGCTTTCCTCGCCTCAAATCAGTGCCACCACCTCATTCAAACACGGAACTTCCTGCTTGCCGAGAATTTGAATCCTCACTTGATGAAATTCTGGATTAAGTCCAACAAGAAAATCGTAGACTCTATCTTGCTCGATGAAATCCTTTAGAACAGCGGCATCTTCAGGACACTTGGTTTTTATCACTCTATAATGATCAAGTTCTTGCCACAAAGATTTCAATTGGTTGGCATATTCAGTAACAGATTTACTCCCTTGTTTTGCTGCAATCATCTTCACCTTCACCTCATATACTTGAGCCGCATCTCTAGCTTTTGAGTATGTCTGTTGAATTGCATCCCAAATATCCTTGGCAGTAGCCAAGAACATACATGTGTCACTAATCTCAGGAATCATAGAATTCCACAGCCACTCCATAATCATGGAATCTTCTTCATCCCATGCTTCAAAACGAGGATCTCCTTGTTTAGGCCCCGTACCCATAAGATGGCTGATCTTTCCCTTGCCCTTCAGCACGGCGCGGACAAGTTGAGACCATTTGAGGTAGTTTTTTCCATTCAGCCTATATGCTGCCTGGATATTTTGCAATTCCCCGGGTTGTTGGGATCGAACAATCTCCTCCGATTGTGCTGTAGCGGTCGTCTCTGCAACCTCCGACATTCTTCACGAACAATGATCTCTTGGTGATTAAGGCTGATCACTCGAAACGGAAACCACCAGCAATGAAGGCTGGCAAAGGTAGAAATAAGAACGGAAACTGCTCTAAGAAATTTCAGCAATGAAGGCTGAACAGAAAAAGTGCAAAAATACTCTGTTTTTGACCTAAAAAACAGTGTAAAACAGGGTACAAAGAAGCAGCAGTATGGTCTTGGCAATGAAGGCCTGTGTGAAGAGGTTTTTAATCCAGAAAAGAGCCTAAAGCTCTGATACCATGACACAAACTGAGAAAAGAATTTTCTTCATACTTCTCTAATAATGCACAAAACGGTAGCTATATACATCAACCCTAGCAGCAGAAAAGGAAAACTAACTAGGTTATATCAGATCCCATGATTTATGGGATATTCTAACAGAATAGGAAACTAACAAAATCAGCCTAATTCTAGGAATACAGGCTGTTTCAAAATTTCCTAAAATAGCTAACTATACACGTATAGAATACAAGTCATTAAACACGTTTTCCCACAGAAAGTATTCTTTCACTCTCTCTTTCCCCATCTCTCTCTTTTTCTCTCATCCTCTTTCTTCTCTTTTCTTCTTCTTATACTTCACTCTTGATTTGAGTATCTTTTAAAATCAACATGTTCCTGTTGTCATTACTACTCTTTGGAGGACCAATAATTTGGACTGTTAGCCATCAAACTGAATTGGATATTACATTCTCAAAATGGAATAAGATTCTCAACATGCATCCACCAAACTAAATTTTAACATTCTACATTACGTTTGAAACCAACTTCCTCATTCTAAGTCTGGTTAAGAATATCTATAGTTTTGATATAAGCCTTCCTTTATGTACCATGTAGTGGACCAAATATAGTACCTCATACCCATTCCACATACCACTGTGATCACTACTTCTCCGAAGGGTTGGCTGACCAAGAATCTGGACTCTTATACATCAAAAGTTAATTAGGGGCTTTAATCTTCTGGTGGGTTTTCTATCTGTACCGATTCCATAGTTGAATAAGATTCTCATAATATATTGTCTTATGTCAATGCAATTAGACCAGTATGATTTGTGGCATCATGTACAGGACTGACATTAGAAGTGAATCATGTCTTCATATAACATGATCCTATATGTCCTTGATGAGTCCACAAGCCTTCATATTTTTGAAGGGAGGCTCATTTTTTACCCACCCCAGAGATTAAACTTCGAACTCTTCAATCCGAGCCCATTTTCGTCTAATACTTGGAATCAAAATTCAATTCTCTTTATGCATAAAGTACAATTTACAAAGTTAGGAATCGTCTTTCTGTACTTTTTTATTTTTTTCCCAACAATTCAAAAATCCTGACAGTCACGTCCTATTTGTTGTTTGCTTGTCATCTATAATGAGCAATAACCTTCCTAACTGCCTAACCTACAGAAATTACATGACATACGGAACTTAGATGACATGTATGTTATAGTAACCTCAAGTTTTTAGTTTGACATGATTTTTGAAGCATTTGAAGGTTCTCGAACTAGAATAATTCCTTAGTTTGACATATTTTTGAATAAATTTGGATACCCTAAGAAATTGAGTGACTTCATTTTGTTATTAATAAGATCAGAGAACCTGAATGCAGAGAGTAATTGTCAAAGTCAAATCATGGGGAGAATGAGCGACATTACTTATACTGATGCTACGTGATCAGCTCTAGTATTCCATGAAGTTACACCATATTAGATTTTTTATGCTTCAGCCTTGTGTCGCAGGTCTATATCTTCTGGCTCTTGGTTGGGATTTGGAGTTTATGGGCTTTGTAAACATCATCACCTCCACTACGTGATAAAATGGAGACCTCATTCGATAATGCCGCATTCATCGGAATGGTTATGTTTATTCAAAAGCTTTTTAGACAGCCATAAAGTGCACGCTTTTTGACTGATAAGTTTGCACTCTCATTCAAGAATTCCAGCTAGGTGGTTCCTCCTATCCTTAAAGGACACCCGAGTGCACCCTTAAATGAGTTGTTGAACTAATATTAAGTATCTAGAAAACAAAGGCTAAGAGAGAGAATATCACATAAAATTCACGATTGGATTAAAAAAATCATTGGTCTCAGGCAATTTGGTGAAGGAAAAACTAATCAAATAAAGGGCAGAATTAAGACAGATACGATCAAACCAAAGATAATAAGCATAGCAGACATTTTATTCTTGGAGATTGCATTTTGATTGAAAAAAAAAAAATGTAAAACAACTTTGTTCCCTGAAGGTGTAGACTCCTGATTGCTTATGTCAAAATGGGAATTATTTGTAGTCTTGTAAACATTGATTTTTGCATGCTTGTTCCAGGAGATCTGGCACCAACATATATGATGTTACAATGGATGATGCGGCTATCCTGGCTGGCCCTTTTGGACTTCCAGTAGAGATGGAAAGCAAGTTCAAGTTGGAGTTGCTGTAAGATCCCTCACTGTAGCCACTGCCTTGCTGCCTCATTTGTATTAGACACTACTTATTAATTAATTAATTCGATAAACAAGCTTTCATTCTTAACATGTTGCAGATACACGGATGACAAGCTCAGAATTACTCGGGGGTATAGCAAAATTATTTTCGTCCACTTACGTGCGGATGGATCCAAGCAGAAATAGAGTATTTGAATCAACCTGAAGAAAATCTGTTGCCTTTCACATACATGCGGTGCTATCAATTGGTGTAAACCTTAAATGATAAGTAAATGTCAGGTAAAACTGAAACACTGTTGTGGTGGCACCATGGCAAGCACTGTTTTTTAAAATTATGCTCATACATTGGAATCAATTATTTGACCACAAGAGCTTATCTTGTTAAGAATAGTATTTGCAGTTATGGCATCTTGATGGAGATCTTAATTGTGCTGGGTTGATATCTTGTGATCTCGATCTGCAGTCGCAACATATCAGCATCAATCATTCAGGCCGTCTTTTTCTTGTCCATTCCAATCATTGCCATTGCCACCATCTGCTGCTGCTACCTCCGCCATCACCACGATGATCTTCCCCGTCGTGAAAACACCAAATTAGGAGCAGTAAAATCCCAGTCATCGCCATCTATCACTACGGTGTTCATTTTAACTCAGAGAGTGATTAGTACCAACTTCTAGGCAATGGCTTATGGAGAACCGCTCTGACCACCACCATGGGAGGAAGAGGAGGAGGTTGTTGGGTGATGGTGTGCACGCGGCATGTGTAACAAGAAGAATGAGAAGACAACCACTTCTGGATGCATTCCACGCCGAAGTGATGGTTGCACGTGTTAGAGCATATATACATACTGATGATCAGAGAAGGTAGGTTAAACATGCATGCATGCATTATAGAGTACGGAGATATAAGTAATTTAATTTAATACCGACTACATTACAATTAAGTGTATGGCGATTATTGTTAGATCATATTAATTACCTTTCCAACACCTGAATTTGTTCTCAAACATTTCTTCAGTTGTCTTCCCATTCTTCTTGCCCCACATACCGCACGAGGCGGACCAATTGTCACCCGACAACCTTCTCTGCTTCCTCCAATGGTGGTGGCCAGAGCGGTTCTCCACAAGCCACTGCCTAGAAGTTGCTACTGATCACTCTTAAAATGGTAGATGGCATTGGTTGGGATATTACTGCTCCTAATTCGGTGTTTTCACGATGGGGAAGATCATCGTGGCGATGGCAGAGGTGGTAGCAGCAGATGGTGGCGATGGCAATGGACAAGAACAAGGCGGCCTGAATGATGATGCTGATATGTTGAGACTAAAGATCGACATCACAAGATATCAACCCTTAAAAGGCCAACCAACCCTTAAAAGAAAGAAGCAAAAGAACAAGGGCGAGAAGGAAGAGATTCTTTTCTAACCAGTCGGTCAGCTAAGTGCAAAAGGCAAGCAATCGGATATATATATATATATAAAGTGGTTCAAAGTTTTGGAGAATGGTGATATGAATTCTGTGTACTGCCCAAGTCCAATGACCTAGATTTTCTAATATATAGTGAGTGGGTAAGAATGGTGCTATGAATTCTGCTACAAATTCTTTGCTATAGGAATTTTTAACCCACATGATGTGGTGTTGGCAGTATGAAACCAACCACCGAACAAACACATCATGTGGGTTAAGGAACACAAAGCAACCACTAATTTATCTTCAGAAAATCTGGGAAATTTTTGGGCAGCTCATGTTTAAAAACTTTTACAGCCAGAAAATTATGGGAATGGGAGCCATATTGATTTTTTTTATAAATAATTTCAGTGAGGGCAATAGTGAAATTTTATAAGTATATATTTACAATTTTCGTTGTTATTAATTAGTTTTTTTGTGCTTTTGTTTTATGAAATCACACAGCCCTAAGGTGTCATGTTTGTGCTTTGTTTTCTGAAATCACCACATCTGTAATGCTGTTGGGATGGATTGTTTTACCTTTGGGCAGGGGTGTGTATATATATATATATATATATATATATATATATCATTGCTGGATCATTTGAAAATATTAATAATAATAATGTAAACAACCCACAAGGCCACCATTAATAACATGGGTTGCTAACTTGCTACAAAACAACATGGGTGTTCACATCACATCTTTGTTCAAAACAGAGCACAGCACACTCTCTGTTCTTCTACTTCTCTACTTTTAGCTGTGGAAGCCCGTTCGGGAGAGAATGGGTGACTTGGTTAAAAGGCTGACATTGGTGGATAAAATTGTGAACAAAACTGAGAACGTGAGTAGATAAAAGAGTATTTTATTGATAATATTTTATAGGATAATTAATACTGATCTCCTTTGAGGATCACACATTTACAGATTACTCTAACATCCCCTAAAATTGTGAAAATCTTTCATGTCTTTATCTAATTTAATAATAGTTTAATAAAACAAATATATATGTCAAACCAAAAGATTATTACCCTTTTATTTTTTTCACATCTCATAAACATTATATTATTTTATCCATATATATATATATATATATATATTTGAAAGAAAAGAAAAAAACACCGAATTAAACCCTAATAGGAAACCGAATAAAATATCATTAACAAAAAATAAAAATATATAAAAAATAATATATAGTTTTTGTAAAATTTAATAATATAAAATTGGTATGAAAATTAATACTTTGTATTTTAATGACATTTCATAATATTTTTATAGTTTTATGTCAAAATATAAAGTTATTGATGTCTTTTAATATAAGGAAATAACAACTTAGTTATTATTTAAATTTTTATTAATGGCAAGGGGTGACGTTTGAGCATGCGTTAAATCTCATGGAAGATCAAAATAATAAAGGTCAAACATTCTATCTTAATGTGATTTGTTCACATTTCAAGAAACTAATTTATCTTATATTATAATGACATGAGGCTCCCCAACTAGAAAATGGTTGTGAGAAAATTTGAATAAAGGGCCATTTTATAGGCCACTATTATTACTGGGTGCTGCCATTGGGTCTTAAACTTGAATTATTAGGTAGTTCCAAGTTTACCATGTCACTTTTGGTCCCAACTAATAGAATTAAGACAACACAAAAAAGGTCCCTTTTACTTTACAAGTCAGTATTGAGCATTAAAAAGGCCAATTGAGATAAACTGAAGAACAAAGCTTTGCGTTGTAGAAAAAGCTTAATCAAGTACATAAAAGTACCAAAGCCTTAAAACCATTTACCACACTCACTCTCACACTCTCTCTCTCTCTCTCTCTCTCTCTCACTCAGGCGCGCGCGATTGATTTTAAATTATTTTTTATTATTTTTTTTACTAAAGAAGACATATTAAAAATTGAATTAGTAAATGTAGAGAGTAGGAACCTGACATTTCAAAGTCCACTAAAAATATTAACCCACTGAACTATCAAGATATTTCAAAGTCCATTAAAAATATTAACCCACTGAACTATCGAGACATTTATATAATAGATTTTAAACTATCAAAACTAAATTGATTAACTTTTTCTGATAAATAAATAATCCACGTTTATTTTTCTTTCTTAAAAATACTTTAGAATACATCACTAAAATCATTTTTTTTTTTTTTTTCAAAATTTATCCAACTCCACTCTCTCTCTCTCTCTCTCTCTCTCTCTCTATATATATATATATATATTAAAAATCAACTAATTATTTTATCTTTATTCAAAATTGATCCAACTCCACTGTACCATTAGAACGTAATGTAATATATATATAAATTGATTAACTTTTTCTGATAAATAAATGATGTCTTAGTCTCATTTAGTAAAAATGCACAACCAAATAGTACATTCTTCCAACGATTTTTTACTCCAACAAAGGGAGCACAAATCATGTTGTCATATTTGTGCGATAAGTGGTATAATATGAGACAACATCTCCAAAACATTTGTAATCCAACTTAGAGAAACTCTCTCTCTAGAAAAAGCTGGTCATTCGATTTTGACCATCCATCTATACTCCGGAAATGAACATTGGATTTTCAGCTTGCTTGCACTTAGATTAATTGATAAGACTTTGGGCATTGCTTATTTCAATTGCCTTTGACCTTTGGGATTGTAAGAAATTGTGACAATCCCGTTCGGTAAACCAAACATTTTTAACACCACCGGCTTCTTTAAGCAAATACGAGTATGTCTTAGTTGTTCTTATGTCAGCTTTGACCATGGAATTAATAACACCTACACTAGTCTCGGTGATCTTTCTCCCTGTTCGTAACAAGTATTATATTCAGTAATGAATTTCATTATTTTCCACACACCATTTTTCACTTTGAAAATGGAAAATAAAATAAAATATAATAAAATGAAATAATTTTGAATAAAAATAAAATATAATAGTTGATCTTAGTGATGTATTCTAAAAAAAAAAAAAATTAAAAAAGAAAATTAAACGTGAATAATTTATTTACCAGAAAAAAAATTCATGAATTTAGTTCTGACAGAATTTATTTCAATTGAGAGAGAGAGAGAGAGAGAGGGAGAGACTACAATATTTTTAAGGCTTTGGTACTTCTTATGTACTTGATTAAGCTTCTTCAACAACCCCTGGCAAAACTTTGTTCTTCAATTTCTCGGATGGCTTTGGTACTTCTTATGTATTTGATTGAGCTTTCTTCAATTCTTCAACAACCCCTGGCAAAACTTTGTTCTTCAATTTCTCGGATGAAAGTATCATCTCAATCGATCTTTACAATACTCAATACTGACTTGATGTTGACTTGGAGAGTAAAAGTTGTCTTTTTATGTGTTATCTTAAATCTATTGGTTGGGACCAAAAGTGATGCGGTAGACTAGGGACTTCGTAATAATTTCTCGTCTGGTCTACTTTTAAGTATGTTCTCACATTTATAGCTACAAGAGAGAGTAGACCAGCTAGTACTATAATAATACAGGGGAGTGGACCTTACAAAAATATGTGCCTGGAGACTTGCAGTGTATACCGCGTTTGGTAACATTGGATCCATGAAATTGAGAAAATTTAATTCAAACTTTATATTTAAATTTCTTTCAATCTTAAAGTCACCGATTTGATATTCCAAAACATAATATAAAAGTATTTCTATTTTCATTTTCCTTGAACTGGTTTGTCTATGCGGCCCTTTCCAATAACTTCATTACCCATCAGGTCATGAACCTTCACTTTCTTTTAAGATATTAACCCAGCAAGGCAAGTGTGCAGGGTGTGTAGAAATTATTACCCAAATAGATGTAATTTCAAAGGTAATTTATACAAATCTCCCCTATAATTTGTTATAATTACAGAAACCTCTCTTTTTATTTGAAAAATTACTCGGATCTCTCCTATTTTTTAAAATATCATACACATACCTCCTTTCTGTTAGAGTCAACGACGAAAATTTAATTAAGGTAGAAGATATATATATATATATATATAATGCTTGATATTATATTCTAAGGCAACCAAGAGCCGGCGGTGCTTCCTGGCTTACCAATAAGGAAGGACCATCAAGAAAGAAGATCGCCTCTTTTGATTCTTTTGTTCTTGTATCAAGCACCATGGTTACATAAGCGATGGAGATTTTCTTTGAAAAGCTCCTCTCCTCGCACATCATCACGAAACCCAATTCATGAATCTAGTCATGAAAAACTCAATTTCGGCAAAAGGAATGGTGGCTGCGAACAATTGGGTTTGTGCGTATGACATTTGCGATTGGGTTTGATTTATGTGATTTGGTTTTTATTTTGGAAATCAAAATTGCGATTGGGTTTGATCTGTGTGACGGAACCTGGTCATGAAAACCCCAATTCCAGTGTGTTATTGTTTTGTTTTGTTTTATATTAATTTTCTTAAATTAATTTAAAATTTGATCTGATATATATTTTTTACCGAATTGAATGAAAAGATGAGGATGGATGACTGTACAATTCCTAAGCTGGAGAAGCAAGAATCGTCGGAAAAGCTTAAAGTTTCAACAACAACACACTAGAGGGTCCCCTGCCTAATTCATTGTCATCACTATCCGGGCTCCAAGTTTTGGATGCTTCAAGTAATCAATTCACGAGTCCTATTCCAGCGAGCTTTGGACGCCTTGTTTCGTTGAACAAGCTTGTTCTAAGCAAGAATTCGTTCTCTAGATCGATCCCTTTATGAATTGGCTTACCTTAAAGAAAACCCAATTCATGAACCGTCGTTACCGCCGCCAACCTCCAACCACAGGCGAATCATAGTTCTTTTTTCCTTGCTGATCCTTTTTCAATAATCTTTTACATTTTTATTTTTATTCAAATATTTAATCTCTGATACTATTTTTTTCCTTCTCGGTTTTTGGTAGCTCTGAAACTATAAACCTTACCAGAAAAATCACACAGTGAGATGAAGAGACGGGTGAGGGTGAAAAAATAGCGTTATTGGTTTTATGTTTCTTTTTTTCTTTTTCTTTTATAGAGTAAGGAAACTTTATTTTCTCCTTTTATCTCTAAAGTTTCTTAATCCAACAGGTGTAAAAGGAGAGAGGTCGTTAATATATCGCATTACAAATATATATATCTACACACACACAAAGATGGAGGAAAATAGAGATGTTGGTGGCGGTGGCCATTGCCGTGGCCGTGGTGGCACCCATGGTGGTTGGTGGTGGTGGCCCCAAACAGTTTTAAGATTTATTTATTTATTTATTTTGTTTTTTTTTTTGTTTTTTTTTGCTCTCTCTCTATATATTATATTTTGTAATTGGCTAATTTTTGTGTCAAAATAAGTTCGATCGAGTTGTATTTTCAAGTTTAAAATTCAAGATCAAGATTGGTTGTGGAACTGAAGAGATGTTTATGTTTGATAAATTGAGGTCTACAAAAAAGGTATAAACAACTTTAGGAAGTTGAGTTAGAAGGTTAGGACACTTACATACATGGTATATTTTTCAAAATTTTCAAATCCAGAATTTTTCTAATAATTTAATCCTTATGTTCAAGTCTAGCCAACTTGAACCAGTTCCTTGCAGCTGAACCGGCTCAAGATTCATACTTTGAATCCAATTCAACACTGGCCAACTTGAACCGATTCAAGGACTCTAAACCAGTTCAAGCTCTTCTGCAGATTTTGGTAACTTAGTTTCCTGTTCTGTTTAAACTTCCTATTTGATATAGGTTTATTTCCAAAAGACATATGAACGAAATTAACTTCTTTTCTAAGCATATCTACGTTTTTTAAAGTCTATATAAACAAATTTTCCCATCTAGGTTTGTGTGGCTTTTTGCATTAAAACTTCTGATTTTTAAAAGCCTTTGAGAGATATTTTAGAGAAAATCAAATATGATTTTTCTGTTTTTATTTTGAATACACACATAAACACAAGAGTGATTTTGGAGTGTTGTTCAATTCCTGATCGTGTTCAAGTCTATTGAATATTGCATTTACAATGATCAGAGAAAACATATCTATTTCTTCTACATTAAAATTCAAATCTTGAAGAAAATTGGTGAAACAATCACACTTTAAAATGGTCAAAGCATTCGAGGAGTATTAATTAATCTACCAGCAATCCTTCTATAGAGATCAAGTATAAGCCTTGAGTCAATAGTTGTTGGACGGGACATTGCAAAGCCAAAGATTGTCAGCAATTGGTTTTTGGTAAGAACGATAGGGTCAAGGGCGGATCCATTGATTGGGGTGGGCTAATTTAGGATTGGGCTAATTTTGGGTGGGCTAATTTTTTTTTTTTTTTTTTTTTGGGGTGGGCTGAAGCTCACCTTCGCCCACCCCTCCCTCCACTCTTGGATAAGGTGTGAGCCTGAATCAAAATCCATTGTACTTTATTTCAAATATAGTAGATAGTTTTGCTCTAGACTGCACAGTTCATGAGGTTTTCCCAACAACAATTGGTATATTCTGTCAATTGGGGTTTTTTCGTTAAAAATCCTGGTATCATCTGTCAAACTTTATTTGTTTTACTTGCTTTTATATTGCACATAATTGTTTAATTATTTGGTAATTTAAGTAAAGCTAATTGAATAAAGAGACACATGATTAAATCATCTCTAGGTAAAATCTTAAACTTTTCACAATTTATTCTGCTGCACAATTCACGATTGGTATCAGAAACAATCTCTACACATTGAGTTGATCGTGGGAAGTTTTTTATTGTTTTCAAAAATTACCTCATTTCATTGTTATCTCACTTAAAGTGGTGATGAGGATAGATGTAGTTTTTCCATCTTTTTTTTTTTTTTTTTTTTTTGTAAGCTCGAATTTTATTAAACTGGTGACCTCATTTGTATTGTCATGTTAAAAAAAAAATAATTATTATAAATAAATAAATAAATAATTGTATTAAATATATATAGTTATATACAGTACAAACGAAATAAATAAATAATTGTATTAAATATACAAATGAGGTCACCAGTTTAAGCTATTATTAACAACAAACGAAATGACTATTTTATCCTTACATAAAATTACCTCATTTCATGGTTCTCTTATAGTTAAAGTGGTGATGTGGATAGATGTAGTTTTTCAATGTAATATATATATTTTTTTGGTAAGTTAGATTTTTATTAAACTAGTGACCTCATTTGCATTGTCATGTTAAAAAATAATTATATAATAAAAGACTAAATTACACTAATGTTAGCTTTTATTACTCCTTACATGGAGATGCTAAGGCTTCGTTTGGATTGAGTAAATAAAAGAAAAGAAAAGATTGTGGAAATCGTGTTTAGGTAGGTTTTAGTGAAGAAAAAAGAAAGGATTGGGAGAGATTTGGAGGGATAACTTGCTATCCTCCCAAAAATGAGAAAATTTGGAGGGAAATGATAGTGAGTAAATAGTATTTTCATAATAACAAAATTACCCTCTTATAACATTTGAATTATATCTTATAACATTTTATAAAAAAAAGGTTATGATAGTAATTTAATTCTTATCATTTTTTTTTTCTCCTCTATCTTTTCTAAATAAGAATAATATCATTTTTTTTCTTTTCCCTCATAATTTATCCAAACATGAATAAAGATTATTACTATCATTTCTATTCATTTCTTTTCTCTTATAACTAATGATATCATTTCTTTTCTTTTCTATAATGTTTATCTACATGAAGCCTAAGTGTGGTGCTTGACTGCTTGGTATCTATGACTCCTTCAAGATCAAACATATGACCTGTTATGAAAGTAATAATTTCATGTACTTATTGACTTAATAAAATGACAGTTTTAACCCTAGATATAACGTGCTCATCATGAATTAATTTGCTTAATTAAAAGATTGGGTAAAGTGCAAAAAAAAAAAAGAAAAGAAAAACCCTTGAACTATGTTCAAATAACCCCTTAAGTATATTTTGTGCGTAATAATCTTTTAATTATCACATTATGGTGCACAACGCTTTAATGCCTAAATCATATTTCATTAGAGGACCATAATGCACTTTCTTATGAATTACACTTAATCTAACTTTTTTTCTTATTGAAATAAGTTATGAAAGAATTTCATATTAACTTGATGACATATTCTCCATTAAATTTGCATAAATTTACTTCTAGTTTTTAAAATTTATTAATTAAATAAAAATCTTAAATAGAAAATTTTAAAAAATTAATTAATTTCATAATTTTTAATGAAAAAGGTATCTTTTATTTAAGTAATTTATTAATTTTTCATCAATATATTGTATAAAAAATAAGGTATTTTTTTTTACGGTAAAAAAGTTTAAACTGATTAAAAAAGTTTTATTATAAATAATAAAATTTTAATAATAAGTTAATCATTTTGAAAAATGTTAGTTACAAATTAATATTTTTTTTCATTTTTATGATAAATTGATACTAGTAGTCAAAGGTAAATAGTATAATTAATATTTAGATAAGAGAAAAGATAATAAAAATAATTTACTAAGAAATAATAAATTTAATGAGAAAAGGTAAAATAGTCTTTTGCGATGAATTTGTATCAATAATTTAGAGAATAATTTTTATTTCAAGAGAATTATTTGTTTCACTTTTACCCTTAAAAGATACTATGATGCAGAAATCTATTAATCATGTCTTCTTTTGTTTTGGGAAGGTGATTGATGAAAAAATAAAATAAAAATAGAACATAAAGCCCCAATATTGAATTAAACGGAGACGGAGGGCACACAGGGCCGGCCCTGGCCCAAGGCTACCAGCGGTCGCCTTGGGCCTCAGATTTTAGAAGGCCTCAAATTTTGAGGCCCATATGGGATGGAAAAAATAAAAAATAAAAAAAAGTTAGGGCAAGTTTCAGACGACACAATCTGCTTCGACACTCCGCAGGGCGCAGCCTCCGCTATCGCCTCAGGTGACAAGGTATGTTCATCCTCTCTCTCTCTCTTCTCTCTCCTTTTGCATGAATCGATCTTTTATATATGTTTCTTTCTTTCTTTCGCTCATCTCATCATTTGATTTGTTCTAACTTTGGTTCGTTTGATACGGGCCTTTACCTTTGTTCCAATAGTGAAAAGTAGCTAGGGTTTTGTGCGTGTCACTGTGTGTGTGATGGCTATCAAAAGCTGAATGAATATATTATGGTTCTCTTAGTATTTTAATAAATGTGTGCCTTTCTACATGTGTCTTTCATGGCGATCGAGTCCATAATCTATGGCAGGTACTCTTTTTTTTCCTCTCCCTAAGTCCACTCCAATCTCACAACAGCAGCAACCATACCCCTTTTCCTCATAATTTTTTGCATTTTCACATTCAATCCCGCGAAAATTAAGGATCCCTTCTAGTGGGTTGAGGTATTAATTAACTTTTTCGTTCTCTAAATTATGCTCATACTTAAAAGTGCCAAATTAAAGGTTTTTTATTTTTATTTTATTTTTATATGAAGATACATACCACCATTATTGATGTTAATTGAAGTTGGCTCAGCTAGAATTTCAGTTAATAATACTGTCAAAGCACTTGCCATCAGAATGTACAAACACATGGAAATCAAGAGCAGGCTTTAACAAAACAAAAGTTAATGGTTTTTTCTATTAATTCGCACAGGTTTTCTGTAGCAATGATCAATCAATCACTGCAGGTAATTGGCTCCCAAAAAAAACACACACAAAGTGTAGTGTAGTTAATATAAAGAGTGAAAGACAAAACTGTATATGATAGTGGATGCCACATATAACCTAAAAGTCCCACTACTTCTTCAGTCCTACAAGTTCAGCCTCCTATATACATATATATAGTCACCTCATCTCCACATATTTTTGTCATCTGTAATCATCAAATTTTAGTAGCTATATAAACAATGAATGTAAAAGAAGCTGTAATTTTCTGTTCTCTTCATTTTTTATTTTGTGCGTGTGAAAATTTCACACTCTTTAATTGATAAATTTATTGTTATTAGTTAGCTGTCTTATGCACATTGCACATATGCACAATTATTTATTGGTGGTGATAAAAATTTATAGTTATTAGTTAGTTATCTTAAGCACACTGCACAGACAAACAATTATTTATTGGTGGTGATAGATTTATACTTATTAGTTAGTTGTCTTATGTACGCTGTACAGGCGCACAATTATTTGTTGGTGGTGATAAATTTATAGTTATTAGTTAATTGTCTTATGCACAATGCACAGGGGCACAATTATATTAGCTATAGAATTTGAAAATATCGTGTTAAAATTTCACACTCTTATAATTCTTTTTTGCGCGTGTGAAACTCAAGGGCCTCACATTTGAAAGTTCGCCTAGGGCCTCTCAAAATATTTGAAATCTCAGGGCCGGCCCTGGGGCCACAAAAGGGAGGTTTCAGTCCGTCAAATTTGAAAATACGAAGGTGATAGAAGAAGAAGCATCGAGACGAGAGAGGTATCAGCCATTGCCCAATTAGTTTGGGAGCTTCATGAATTGTTGCGTTCATTGTTGTTGTGTTGGTTGCTTGGTGTTTCTATTATTTATACTTCCTCTACTTTTCGATTTGATTTCGAGTAAGAGTGTTTTACTTCAGAAATAGGGTTTCACTTTTCTCAGAAAAACAAGGCAAATATCGTTGATTCATCACAACATGAGCTGTTCTTCCACTTGAAATTGAATTGGTATGCCTTTCTTTATTGTTGTTCTTCCACTTGAAATTGAATTTGTACGTTGTTGTTTACCATGAGAGATAGAGAGAACAGAGAGAACAGATCTGTATATATTTCACCTACACGCACCAAATAAGCCTATATAGGCTTATATAAGGGATACAAGTCTCCTTAATAACACAAGGGCCTACTAATATAATGTAATTACATAATGGCCCAACATATATATATATATATAACATTCTAACACTCCCCCTCAAGCTGGAGAATATATATCAAATAATCCTAGCTTGGAACAGATAGTTCTTAACCGGTTATGACCCAATGCTTTGGTAAACATATCAGCTAATTGATCTTCAGACTTCACGAATGGAGTAGAGATGCTCCCAAGCAATATCTTTTCTCGAATGAAGTGACAATCAACTTCAATATGTTTGGTCCTCTCATGAAACACAGGATTTGAGGCAATGTGAACTGCTGCTTGATTATCACAGAACAATGAAGTAGGAACTTCAACTGTTAACCCAAGTTCTTTTAGAAAATGTTGTATCCAGGTCAACTCACTAGTAGTATGAGCCATTGCCCTATACTCAGCTTCAGCACTAGATCGAGCTACCACCGTTTGCTTTTTACTTCGCCATGTAACAAGATTGCCTCCTACAAATGTGCAGTAGCCTGTAGTAGATCTCCTATCTGAAGGAGAACCAGCCCAATCGGCATCTGTAAAACCTTCCACCCTGAGATGACCATTTGATTTATATAGTAGCCCAACACCTGGAGCTTGCTTGAGATATCGGATAATCCGAAGAACAGCAATCCAATGTGGCATTCTAGGAGCTCCCATAAACTGACTTACAACACTAACTGCATATGAAATATCAGGTCGAGTGATAGTGAGATAAATTAATTTCCCAACTAGACGACGAAATCTGCCCGGATCATTAAATAGATCACCCTCATCAGACACAAGTTTTGTATTCGAATCCATAGGAGCATTAACCGGGCGACCACCCAACATACCTGTTTCTTCTAATAAATCCAACACATATTTTCGTTGTGATAAACTTATACCCTTCTTGGATCTAGCAACTTCAATACCCAAGAAATACCTAAGTTTACCCAAGTCTTTAGTGTGGAATCGATATTGCAGAAACAACTTCAACTTAGCAATGCCTTCAGAATCATCACCTGTGATCACAATATCATCTACATATACAACAAGAAAGATGAAGCCAGCTTTAGTGCGCTGGTGAAATACTGAATGGTCAGTCTGACATCTGTTAAGACCAAATTTGAATGCTGCCTCAGAGAATTTTCCAAACCAAGCCCGTGGAGATTGTTTCAATCCATATAGGGCCTTTTTAAGGCGACAAACAGTGAGACTCCCCCTGAGCAACAAACCCAGGTGGTTGCTCCATATAAACCTCTTCGACTAAGTCACCATGCAAAAAAGCATTTTTAACGTCTAACTGAAACAGAGGCCAATGTCTATTAGCAGCAAGAGAAATCAAAACACGAATAGAAGAAATCTTAGCAACAGGGGCAAACGTCTCATCATAGTCAATACCATAAGTCTGGGTATAACCTTTGGCAACAAGACGAGCTTTTAACCGCTCAACGGAACCATCGGGAAGATACTTCACGGTGTAGACCTAGCGACAACCAACTGGTTTGACACCTGGAGATAAAGGAACAAGATTCCACGTGTCATTTTGATGCAAAGCATCAATTTCATCTTGCATGGCTTTCCTCCAGCCCGAATCAGACAAAGCATCCTGCACAGTCTTAGGAACAAATGTAGTAGACAATTGAGAGGAAAAACATGAGAAAGATGGCGATAAGGAATTATAAGAGACATACTGAGCAATGGGATGTTTAGTAACACAGGAGCGAGGAGCCTTACGTAGTGCAATAGGCAAGGATTCAGACACAGTGGAAGGTGTTGGATCCAAAGACTCTGAAGACGACGGAGGAGGCACGACAGCAGATGGCTTTGGTCTTCGAGTGTACACCTGTAACGGGGCAGGCAAAGGAGATCTAGGCTGAAGAGAAAGTGAGGGAAGTGGAACCGCAGGAAGAAGCGACTCAGAAGTAATATCAAGAATTGAATCACTATCTGAAAAATATGGGACGGACTCACAAAAGGTCACATCCATGCTAATAAAGTACCGTTGAGAAACAGGACTATAACAACGATAACCTTTATGAGAACGAGAGTATCCAAGAAATACACACTTTGTGGCATGTGGGTCAAGTTTATCAAAACCAGGACCAAGATTGTGGACATAACAGACACAGCCAAAAACTCGAGGAGTAAGAGAAAACAAAGGAGAATCAGGAAATAAAATAGAATGTGGAGATTTGCCATGTAATACAGATGACGGCATACGGTTAATAAGATGACAGGCAGTAAGAACAGCATCACCCCAAAACCGTTTAGGCATGCGCATATGAAACAAAAGAGCACGGGTTACTTCTAAGAGGTGTCGATTCTTACGTTCTGCAACTCCATTTTGTTGAGGAGTATAAACACATGAATTTTGATGAATAATTCCTTTATCACTAAGATAGGTATCAAAAGGGGTTGCAGAATATTCCTTAGCATTATCGGAACGTAAAATACGAATGGGACAGCCAAACTGAGTTTTGATTTCTTTTCGAAATTTTTGAAAAATTAAAAATAATTCAGAACGATCTTTCATTAAAAACAACCAAGTCAGGCGAGAATAATCATCCACAAATGTCACAAAATAATGAAATTTATTGATTGAAGAATGCTTTATTGGACCCCATACATCTGAATGAACCAAATGAAAAGGACTAGAGACACGATTATTAACCCTAGACTTGAAAGACACACGATGGTGCTTACTAAGTTGACAAACCTCACATGACAAGAATTTCAAATTACTAAGACTAGGAACTTGATGCTGCAAAACTTGAAGTGACGGGTGTCCAAGACGACAGTGCCACTGGAATGGAGACAGATAAGACTGAAGAGCCACAGGATAAGGTGCCACATCAAAGTAATATAAGCCACCAGCTTCATTCCCCGTACCAATCGTCTTCTTCGTCTTGAGATCCTGAAACACACAAAAAGTAGGATAAAATGTAACAGAGCACTGAAGAGATTTAGTAAGCTTACTGACAGACATTAAATTAAAGGGAAACTGAGGAACATATAAAACAGATGAGAGAGACAAGGAATCACTAAGTTGAGTTGTCCCCAAACCTGAAACCTTAGCGGAGGAACCGTTAGCAAGGGTAACTCTTTGAGAAGGAGGTACAGAATTAAAATCAGATAGAAGAGAAGAACATCCAGTCATATGATCGGATGCTCCAGTGTCTATGATCCAAGGACTGCGAGTGGAAGACAATAGACATGTGGGTGCAGTACCTGACTGGGCAAAGGTAGCCGTGGAAGATGAATTAGATGCTTGCTTATAAGACAAAAACTGAGTATACTCATCACGTGAGACAGGGACCGTATCTGATTCAACTACATTATGAGATCCAGAAGCAACATCATTCGGAGAGGAGGAAACTTGATTTGCATAACTAGATGGTTTCCCATGAAGGTCCCAACAAAAATTCACAGTATGATTAGAAAGATCACAATGAGTACATTTTCGTGATTCCCTGCCACGCCCACGTCCTCCCCGTGAATCACGACCGCCACGTGTGGAGCGTCCCCCACGACCTCCACGGAAAACAGTATTTTCACCCTTTGAAACAATCAATGCTGAACGTTCACCACTCTGCCCAGTATTCAAAGTGGAGGTATCACTGACAAGTGTAGCGCGTTGAAGTCTAGAAAACACATCAGCAAGAGATGGAAGTGTGGGATTGCCCATAATCTGTGAACGAAAAGACTCATAAACTGAGGACAAACCAGTAAGAAAACGAACAACATTAAAGTCCTCACGTTGTTGTTGCATACTGCGAACATCAGCAGTAATGGGCTGATACATATTCAGCTCCTCACAAATGCCCATAACTTTGGAATAATACTCTTCTATACTGTGACTACCTTGTTCAAGATGAAAATACTGCTTACAAAGCTCATAAACACGAGTGATATTACCTGTCCCAGAATACAGTTGCTGCAATCTGTCCCATATCTCCTTTGCAGTATCTAAATAAAGTAAAGTTGTACTAATTTGGGGTTCAATACTGTTTATCATCACAGAAATGATCTGAGCATCTTCCTTTTCCCATGCATCAAAAGAAACATCAGTTTCCTTGAGTTTCTCTTTAGTCAGATGATTACCAAGGCCTCTACCTTTGAGAAAATTTTTAACTGATTTAGCCCACAGTATATAATTCTTCCCATTGAGTTTAACAGAAGTCATGGAAGAATGAAGACCAGAAGTGGGAGAAAACAAATCTGAAGTGGAGGCCATGTCTTAGCCAGCAAAACAGAGAAGAAAATATGAAGCAGAATTGGTATTCGGGCCGAACCTGGGCAAACGGGTCGGATCCGAGAACAAGTTGGATCTAGGCAAACGGGTCGGATCTGTACGAGTGGGTCGGATCCGGATAACGGGTCGGATCTGGACAAACGGATCGAACCTCGGATCGGATCTGGTCAAACGGGCCGAATCTGGGCTATCCCGGGTTTACGAAACCAGGGTTGGAATAGCCTCACTCCTGCAGCCAAACACCACCCTTCTCCTTCACAATCAGCGCCGGCGAGAACCAGAACGCTGCCACCGACAAGAAATTTCAGCACCCGAGATTCGCAATGGAAAAACAAGGCTAGTACACACCCTAGCCCTTGCAGCGGTGACGACAACCCAACAACAACAAAAAAAAAACAGTGATCTAACAACGGAGCGGAGAGGGATCGCGATGATGGAGCTTCTGCAACTTGCGACAGCCAAGGAAGCCTCGACCAGCAAAACTAAAGGCGTCAGATTTGAGAACGACGAACAAATCTTCAGCGAGTCAGATCTGAGAACCACGAACAAATCTTCAGCGAAGAACAGAGTTGGCTTCGATCTTGATTTTGATTTGTAGAAGAACAACCCAACCCAGATGCAATCACAACTACAACCCGCTCTGATACCATGTTGTTTACCATGAGAGATAGAGAGAACAGAGAGATAGAGAGAACAGATCTGTATATATTTCACCTACACGCACCAAATAAGCCTATATAGGCTTATATAAGGGATACAAGTCTCCTTAATAACACAAGGGCCTACTAATATAATGTAATTACATAATGGCCCAACATATATATATATATAACATTCTAACATACGTAAACACAAATTCTTAGTTCACCTCGGCTTTGATCGACGTTGGAGTAGATCCGAATAGTAGGGGCTTCAACTCACGGTCGGTGATGTCCCTCGCCATTAAATCCGGCAACATCGATTTGGTTCGGGCTCAGATGGAGTTTGGTTGCACAATTCAAAACTGATTGAATCCAAACATGACTAACTTGGTTGCTGAAATTGGCCATCGCGAATATAAATTTTCAGTTCACAATTGCTGAAATAAGCAAGGTAACTTTTATATTTGCACCAATCTCTCTTTAAATTAATATATATTGCATTTTTCAAGGTTGTCTTTTTGGTCTGAAGGTTCTCTTCTATTTTCTCATATTAATTACTTGAAGCAATAAAAGATCGTTAATAAGCAATAATAATTGATGGGTATTTCTTCAAATACTTGTTTACAGGAAGAATTGTTATGGGTTTGTGTTGGATTCTCAATTTTGTTTGGTTACCATAAATTTGTTTCAGGAAAAATGTTTTTGTTTTTTTAGTTATTTACAGATTTTCATGTTTAAAAAGCTTTATATGTACTGCGCTTTTGTGTTAGTGTTTTGTTCATGTATCAGTCCATCTGAAGTTCCTTTTTTTGATTAAAAAAAATATCTAGTCATGTTTGGATTCAATCAGTTTTTAAGTTGGGCTTCACGGAGACATTGAAATTTCAGATTGTAATGGATATACTCCTCTCCATTGCTCTGCTACAAATGGTCACATTGAAACAGTAGAGTTCTTGTGCATGAGGTTGGCTAGCTTGAACGTTGCAGTGCACTTGTGGGGCTCCGGTGAAGGAGAGGTTAACTTCTTTCACGTCAGGCGTAACCAGTCTGTCCATGGCCTTTGCTTGGGGATGAATGACAGAGACTAGTATTTGTTGAAGATGATGAATGAAAATGCTTGCAAGGGTATTTTTGTCATTAGGTGATTATAAGGGTGTTTTTGTCAGATTATAGTGGAAAGGGATGCACGTGATTTTCTCCGTTAGTTTTAGACGGTAAAACTAATGGGAGGGGGTGATATGATAGATTTTTTAAAAGTTAAAGGGGTTATGTGATAGTTTATGTAGTGAAGGGTTATATGATAGTTTTGGCAAAGTAGAGGGGGGTTTTATGATTTTAACCCTGTATGTGTGTGTGTTTTACAAAATTGGTCCAGGTTAATAATTTGTTTTCTCAAAGTTATATAGATTGGTTGTTGCTAGTTATAATGCATAGTTTGTACCCAATAGGAAAGAAGGTCGCTTTCGTTCCAGTTACTCTGTTTTTCAATTCCACAAATCTGCTCATATATGTTCTTTGTTTCACTTTCAGTTATTCTGTTAAACTTACACAATTAAAATGTTTTATACTCCATATGTGTTTTTGTCCAGCTACGCAAATGTTGGATTGATATAATGTCTTTACATATTAAGTGTACATTCGCAAAACACACACACATTTATATATACTATATGTATGCATTTTGGATCATTTTTTGTATTTATTGTTATTATTATTTTTATTTGTTGAGCTTGGATCACTTCAAGTTGCATAAATGATTGATATCATGTGGTAGATTTATGTTATATCTTGTATGCAATTATATCACCATTCATGTGGCCAAAAGAGACGATGCAACAAAAACATCAAGTTTTGATTCTTTTTTCCTGCCAGTTCATTGATTAGTCCCATGTATGAGAACTTATGGTGCCTTTCACACAGCACCCACACTACAAACATGATTGACTATCTTCAGCGATCACTTGATGTGGCATTAAATAGTGAAAGGAAAAGTTCTACATGTTATGTACTTATGTCTATATTCTCTTGAATTTACAATCAATTATATATAATATAAGATTATTTTGGTGAAAAACATTTTCTTACCTTTTCTAGTATGACTAGCAATAGTATTTGCAGTTTCACTATTTGATTATGTACAATCAATCATATATGTACATGAAATATAGAGCAGTAATTTTGAGTAGCAAGTTGTTTTCTTATGAATTAGTAATCATTAAAGGTCTAAGGAGCATATATAATCGCTTTCAGAGACTTATTAGATTCCATAAACCTGTCAATTATATCATTACTAATTTAGATTATGTGGATTGCCAACGTAGTATGAGACTAATGGCGCATGCCTAATATACTGAAGGGTGGAGAGCGACGATCCTAGACACATTAATACATAACAACTTTGTTTTTATGTCTCTTTTGTATTAAAGTTGTATAAATTAGTTTTTTCTAGTTTATAATGCATAGTTTGTGCTAATTTGAATCTACTTGACCCAATTGGAAAAAATAGGTCCCCTTTTTTTTCCAGCTACTCTGTTTTTCAATTCCACGAATCTACGTATATGTGTTCTTTGTTTTAGTTTGGGCTAAAAATTAAAATGTTGTGTATGGGTTATTTTTCTGCTTACAAATAAATGTTGGGTTCTGGTTAAACCACCAAAACTATGTTGTCATGTAGATTGCCAACATGGCATTGAGACTAACGGCATATACCTAATATACTGAAAGGAAGAGAGGGACAATCCTAGACCCATTAATCTTATTGCATGTCATAATAATATGTAGGTTGTGAAGCATTTGTGCACCCTGCATATGTCTAGCTGCTCAAAGACGAATGTTTTGGGGTTGAATAATTACTCAGATGAATCATATGAGGCAAATATCAATTGGGTTTTCGGTAGGTCTCTATATTTTTAGCACAAAATAGTTTGTTGCATAGAGGTGTCAGAGTGCGCAATGATAGCAGGTGTTGGATTTTCTTTTTCTTTTCCCTCTTGCTTGTTTGATTCCTCAAAAATCTACATTTGGGGGCATGCAGCGTTTTAAGACATACATTCTTCACACCCTCTATCCATTTTACTCCTTCTCTTGCTTTATGCCAAGATCATGTGAGACCATGAATTGGTGAGAACCATTATCAAGTAGTTTTCATATGCCTCTGTCCATCTTAAATATATATATTTTTTCTAGATTACTAGTATTAAACTTTCTCGAGAACTGGCATTTTATACATACTTGATGCAATGGAGATGTGATTCATTACTCTATTTTGGTAATTATAGTTTACAATACAGGAGGGCATTTGTTTGTTTTTGTTAGAGAATATTATTATAGGAACCTTAAATTACTCCACAGAATATTGCTCTGAGAATATTGTGGGAGTGATTTTAGTCTATGATAAAATATGATTGGAGTGATTTATGGGATTGATTTTATTAATCCTCCATTAATGTATTTTCCATATTTATTGCTTTGTTCTTTCACCTATAAATAGAGGTGCTCATTGTAAACAATCTTAAGAGAGAATATAATAAAGATGATGTAGCCCTTTGGGCTTTGTCCGTATATCCTCGTGTGCTTCATGTTCTATTTCTCTCTTCAATTTTGACATGGTATCAGAGCTGGCTTATCATACCATACTCTATACTCTACTCGTCTCGGATCTACAGATCAACTCGTCTCGGATCTACGGATCAACTCGTCTCGGATCTTCAAATCAACTCGTTTTGGATCTTTGCAACTCGTTTCAGACTCTCAACAACTTCATACTTAGTCTCAAGTTGGACACTTGAGTTAAAATCTCCGTGTACCAACTTGAGGGAGGGTGCTGGATAATATTATTATTGGAACCTTAAATTACTCCGCAGAATATTGCTTTCAGAATATTGTGGGATTGATTTTAGTCTATGATAAGATATGATTGAATTGATTTTATGAATCCTCCATTAATGTATTTTCCATATTTATCGCTTTGTTCTTTCACCTATAAATAGAGGTGCTCATTGGTAACAATCTTAAGAGAGAATATAGTAAAGATGATGTAGCCCTTTGGGCTTTGTGCGTGTATCCTTGTCGTGTGCTTCACTTTCTATTTCTCTCTTCAATTTTGACAGTTTTGAAGTATGGATTTTAGAAATATGAACATAACAGTTTCAGAGTTTACTTTTCTATATGTGCTTCTAATTTATATAGCTTAAAATCAAGAGTTTCTTCTGCCCAATACTTTGAGCAACTGTAAACTCTCACCGGATTCGTTGATTATACACAAATTAAAGTCCAGATAAATTAGATTGACCAGAAAAAACCGTAGCTTGAGATGAATTAAAATTTAAGGATTGTGCTTTTTCCTTCATAATGTGTTAAAAGGTTTGTAGTTGACAACATTTTGTTCCGATTTTCTTGTGTTATGCCAATATGCTTGTTTAATGCCTCTTAGTAGCTTTTGCTTGCAAGATTTTAGTATCATATAGCTATCTACCGTGCAAACATTAGATGGGAATTAAATTACTTCTGTTTCAACATCATAATCACATTTTACTCACACGTCTGAAATTAAAATAATTTAGTATTGAATGGTGGTTCATTTGTGTTTTCTATTGTTAGTGACAATGATCTATTGAACATATCCTTCACTAACTCAAGAGTCAATCTCATCTTCCTCATCCTTCTTCATACTTGAGTATCTCTACATCTTATATGAAGAAATGCAATTTCTTGAAGCAAAATTGAAATATCTAATCCATTATAGAGTTCCTCTAATCCTGATCCCTCTTTATCTTTTCTCTCTCTTGATCTTTTTATTTGTAAGGTGGGGGTGGCAATTGCAATTTTTAAGGCTTGCTGTGCTAGTGATTCTATTTCTGTACCGATTGGAATTGACATCAAGTATAAATTATTGAAGTTGGAAACACGGGTGACCAATCTGAAAGTGCAATGGCAGCAGTAAATGGTGATGAAGCCCCAGGTAATATGACAGAATTCAGAGTCTCATTTTGTTTCGATTCTTACGGCCTATTATGAGGTCGATTCTTTTACTTCAAGAGTGCATTATGTTTAAGCCAACAACTGTTTGGAGATATTAAATTTGTTACTTGTTTGTCCTTTACTTCTGGCTATTTTAGTATATCTTCAAGAGTGCTATTTTATTAAATTTCTTTTAATTGAAGAGTGCATTATTCAGCTGAGGATTCATGTTTGTAATGTCATTCACTATCTTGCCCTTTCACTCCCTTACTTATAATTGCTGTGGAACTTATTTCTTTGGAGTATCCATTATTTTCGTCCCCTTAATAATTGCATTCAAGTAGCATTTTTCTGTTGCCAGCAGGGAGTGGTAGCCTGAAGAAAGTTGTTTTTTTTTTTCATCTTATTTCACCGTGCTGATCACTTGCAAATTTTGGACGTTTCTGCATGACTTTTTGGTGGTTACTGTCTGCATTTTGGATTACCAAGCAATTGAAATAGAAAGGGTTAATCCATTATACTAGATTATATAATTACTGTAGTCTTTGTTGCAGAAGATAATGTAAAGGAAAGGTGTTGGGATCAGAGAGAGGTGCTGCCAGGGGAGCCCCTATGTGTTATATGTGGCCGCTATGGAGAGTATATATGCGACAGAACTGATGACGATATTTGCAGCCTCGAATGTAAACAGACTCTTCTAAGCAGAATTGACAACTCACAGTTGTCAGTTGATCTCCCACCTCCTATAAGATTACCGGCAACTGATGAGTGCTTTTATGTAAGAGATGCTGATGATAAATCAGAATCTCAATCCTTAACCAACGGTCAGACTGAATTGCTAAGAAGGAAACTTGACATATTTGTGAAGGGAGACATAGTTCCTGCACCAATATTGTCATTTTCTTCTTGTGATCTTCCTCAGAAGCTCCTCCATAACATAGAAGCTGCAGGCTATGAAATGCCAACACCTGTCCAAATGCAAGCAATCCCAGCTGCTTTGATGGGCAAAAGCCTGCTCGTTTCAGCTGACACCGGTTCAGGGAAAACCGCTTCCTTTTTGGTTCCTATAGTTTCATTCTGTTCAAATTTTACGCGTCAACAGTTCTCAAACCTTAAAAACCCATTAGCTATGGTTCTCACACCTACCAGAGAACTCTGCATACAGGTTGAGGAACAAGCAAAGTTGCTTGGAAAGGGTTTGCCCTTTAAAACTGCTCTTGTGGTAGGTGGTGATGCGATGGCCAGGCAACTCCATCGCATCCAGCAAGGGGTGGAATTGATTGTAGGAACTCCTGGCAGGCTTATTGATCTTTTAACCAAGCATGACATAGAATTAGATGGCATTTCGATTATTGTTCTGGATGAAGTGGACTGCATGCTCCAAAGGGGCTTCCGTGAGCAGGTAATGCAGATTTTCAGGGCTCTATCGCAACCTCAAGTCTTGATGTATTCCGCAACAATTCCAAAAGAAGTTGAGAAGATGGCAAGTGTATTGTCGAAAGATGTAACTGTTATCTCTGTTGGGAATCCGAACAAGCCAAACCGGGCTGTGAAGCAGCTGGCCATCTGGGTCGAGTCAAAGCAAAAGAAGCAAAAGCTTTTTGATATATTGATGAGCAAGCAGCATTTTATGCCACCGGTGGTGGTATTTGTGGGTTCAAGACTTGGGGCGGATCTCCTTTCCAAAGCAATAACAATTACCACTAAGGTGAAAGCTCTATCAATCCACGGGGAGAAGTCCATGAAGGAGAGGAGAGAAATTTTAAGGTCATTTTTGGTAGGAGAGGTTCCTGTTATTGTGGCCACAGGGGTTTTGGGCCGAGGTGTTGTTCTATTGGGTGTGAGACAGGTTATAATTTTTGACATGCCAAATTCCATTAAGGAGTACGTGCACCAAATTGGAAGGGCATCCAGGCTCGGGGAGGAAGGTACAGCAATTGTCTTTGTGAATGAGGAGAACAAGAAAATGTTTCCGGAGTTAGTTGAATTCCTGAAATCATCTGGAGCTGCTATACCTCGTGAGCTTGTTAATTCGCGTTACACAGTTGGTTCTCTCTCTGGTGGCAAGGGTCAGAAGAAAAGAAAGCATGCATACTGAAGTTTCAGATTCTTTATCTGTTCACGGACTTAAAGGGCCTGTTTTCTCTCTCTCTCTCTCTCTCGCTATATATATGTATATATAAATACATATATATAACTTTGGAAACCGAATCATCATATTAATTGATAGGATAAGATGTAGGAAGGAGAGGTGGCTGGCCTATATCTCCCTCCCTCACGCTTTAGCGAGATTCACTCTACCATTTTATAGCTTTAGCTCTCTGTTGATTGTGAGATTCTACACTAGACAGTAATCTCCTTGATGAAGTTCTTGGGTTTCCACTGAACCTACTCATATTTGGTGTTTGAGACCCCCTGTATTATTCCTTGAAGGTATCTTAATCTTTTTGAACCGCTCTCTATTGCTTACTATTTACTACTATACTGCCAACACTATTTTAAATGGATTACTGAACTTTGAACCACTGAGCATCTTCTTACTAGTATGCACCTTTCCCCTGACTGATTTTTCCAGACACCATGGCGGCTTTCAGAAGCATTGATTTACTTTCTGATCATCTTATGACTATTCTTGGAAGGATTGTACTATGGTACTACAATGAGTTATTTTATTTGTTTTCGTAACTAGGTTTTCCTTGTTATTGCAAAAATTACTATGTTCCAAGCTTTATGAGCTCTAACTGGGCCAAAAAAAAAAGGCAATGTGGAGATTTTTTATGAAGCTCGTGCCATGGAATGAAGCATTGAGCTTCAGAAGGTCCTTTGAAAATGGAAAAAAAAAAAATAGCGAGGTGAGCAAATCTGTAATCCTCTAATACTTGTGATTTATTCTTCAAATTCCCTTAGACGTTTTTATTTCAACCTAAATTTTTTCCTGTATATGTTACCTTATATCTTTTTTTGAAAAATGAATTTAATCTACAGTGCTTGCGGCCCAACTATAATATATGCAATAATGGTTTTATTTCATAATAATAATAATAATAATAATAATTATTATTATTATTATTTTTGTGGGTTGTTGGGGTTTTAATTCCGTTACTTCATGTGAGATGCTGAATTGAAAGTAAATTAAAATTTTCTTTTCCCTCTGACAGATTTCTTTATTTCTTGTTTTGTGAGATTTCTTCTCATTTATCGCTAATGGTATCATTTTCAGGTCAACCAGTTAAAGGAACTGGACTTCAGAAGGCAGAATGTAACATGTTTGGCTTAGTTCCAGAGGATTGGCTATTTGAAAACACAATCCTCTTTAATCCTGCTTACATTTTTTAGGTTAGTTGACAAATTGACGAAGTTTTGATTTGTAAAGGTTTCCTTAAAGGGACTTCCTAATTTTTTTTTGACGAGACAAGGTAATTTTTCAGGTTAGTCGAACACTTAGAAGAGTGGTGAGAAGAGTTAAGACAGGTATTTTTTTTTGTAAGTAGGTAAGATAGCTTTTTTATACTGAAGATGTTGAATCAATCTTCAGTTCTCTTTGATTGGTGATCTGATCTTGTGGATTATACTTACTGATTTTATGAGTCGATTGTTCTTTAAAATCAACACGTACATTGTTTACTTCCTCAGTATTTCTTCAGTATTTTCCTTTTCTTTGTTGTCATTACCTCTTTTTAGTCATATGTCTGAGATTTTACGCCGTGGGTGCAGATGGCATGTGGTTTACGATACTGCTATCAAAGTGTGGGAGCATATATGGGTTCCAAGTATGGATGGCCAACTCACTCGAAACCCTGCATTCTAGTGTTTTCTTCCATGTCTGTTTCTTTTATATATATCTTCTTGGAAAGCCTGTCATGAGTTTGCTCATATGAACATGAAATTTCGAAATTAGTTCTTTATGCCCTTAAAATATACTACTCAAGTTCTTATTTTCCGATTTCTTCATTGATTTTGAAAACGCAAAGGGGATCTGGGAGGGGAAGCTTCCAGTCAAAAGAGGGGTGGCTATTAATGGACAAGCATGACAATTTCAAGTATTAGTTATTTCAAAGTTCTTTCCACCTCTGTTTTGCTGCTTTGTGATTCTGATAACAGATAGAGCTTTATATTGTGACATTATCTGAAACATTGTCAGGCTGTTAAGTTATTTCAAAGTTCTTTCCACCTCTGTTTTGCTGCTTTGTGATTCTGATAACAGATAGAGCTTTATATTGTGACATTATCTGAAACATTGTCAGGCTGTTAAGTTAGTTGGGATGCAAGCTTTTGCTAGAATGAGGTGCTCATCTTCACTTGCCAATAATGCTCATCTATACTGTTGATGCAAAATTCTGCACCTGGGCCTTTCCTGCAGGAAAAGACAAGTGATGATTGGCGTGGTGCCGTGCAGAATTTTGCATCAACACACACACACACACATATATATCTATATATTATACAGGCATTGGCATTATGCATCTAATGTCTGTAAGAGCCATTGACACAAAGGGTATTACATTGTCATAGTTTTACCTAAGAAGTAATACAAGCTTAGGTTGGTACAGATTGGGTTCGGTCTGGCTCTTGCTGGTTGTGGATTTTATGAATTGCTTTCGTTTTTTGAACAAAAGACGTTTCTTTCATTGTTATCTGTTATTAATTAGGGTGAAGTGCACTTCACGCCCTTGTTACCGTGCACATGAACCCCATTATGTGCACAAAACACCTCAATTTGAAAAAGAAAAAAAAAAGTGCAAATAAGTTTCACCTGATACATTGGAGTAATACATTGATCAAATCACCCTTGTATGCACATTTTTCACATTATTTAAAAAAAAAAATGGTAAAGAGCAGCTAAGTTTAATATGACATGTTAAAGTAAGAATGATTCAAATAAATTCAACATGACACGACGATTTCTTGGAGTTAAAGATGACGCGAAGCTCAAAGAGAGAACATATTGTTGTAGGGGAAATTTATATATAAAGAGATAACAAACTGTAGGGAGAGGCTCAAAGTGGGTTAAATAGGGTTGATGTACTTAACACCCTTACCACGTAAAGCAAAAATAGATTATATATATATACATATATATATTTATTGGCAATAAACTCTCACCCATTTTGTTTCTTTGAAGACTCGAATCCTCATCATTTACTTTGGGATGGTAGAGGAGATACCATTAGGTCATAAGGCCATTGGTTAAAGCAAATATAAATAATAAACACTCCTTGAACATTTTTGAAAGGATAAATGGGCAAAACATGTATATTACAATTATTTTATGTCAGATTTTGCATAAAAGTGATTTGAGGGGGGGGTTTTATTAAGAGTGCACAAAAAAAATCGTTTGAATCGATAAACCGAACCGGACCGGTAGGTTTGGTTTGGTTTTTTCACGGTTTTCGGTTACAGTTCCAAAAACATAGAACCGTTTATAAATAGTTCGGTTACGATTTGAGATTTTACAAGATCAAACCGAACCGTTTTATAAATTGTATATATATTTATATATTTTGTATTATATAAATAAGAAAATAATAAGATTAGTCTTTTAACCACTCAACTATATATATATATATATAGCATAATATATAGTAAAAAATTATATTATAATAGAAATTATATTATATATAATATATATTTTAAATTATTTATGTATATTAACTTGAATTATAAAAAACCTAGTACCAAACCAAAGCAAACAGTTTTGTCACGGTTAGATTTAGTTCGGTTTCATTGGTTTCACGGTTCGGCTCCAATTTTTATGGAACCAATAGAAACGGTTTGGTTCCAAAATATTCTTAAACCGATTCAATTCAAGTGTGTGCACCCTTAGTTTTCACACAAATTTTAAACCATAACGCTATATTCGGAGGATTTGGAATTGGAGAAAATTAGTACAAATTGTGAACTAAACTTCCTCCGATTCTAAATCTAATGCACTAATTTGATGCTCCAAACATTTTATAGCACATTTTTAACAATAAGGGTGAAATGGTCTCGGAGTATAAAACTGGGATGTTAAGTACACTTTACCCTATTAATTATTTTCTTCTACATGAATCAGCAAATGTTTGGTGGTTGAGGTGGAGCCAAGATTTCATTTCTGCGCAGGACGGGGGTAGAAGAAAATTCAATTAACATGGCAAATATAAAATGTTCAAATCCAAAAGCAAATGGTACGAAATTTCAAAATGTAAAATACACATTAAAAATAAAAAATTTAAAGAAAAAAGAATAATAAAAGTTGCCTTGCGTACATTATACATAAGATTAAAAAAAGAATTTTAAGAAGTAGAAGAGAGAGAGAGAGAGAGAGAGAGAAAACTGTAGAAGTAAAAATAAAGAAGGGGATTTTAATTTTAATTTTAATTTTATTATATTTTTAAGAAGGAATTTGAAGAGTAATGGAAAAATGAAGGAAAAAATTAAAAGATAATTCTAGGAATTTATAGTTTTAGAGAGGCATAATGTAAAATTTCTCATATATATATATATATATATGCTCAATGTTCTCCTTTGTTCATGAGCAATCTCTATGCGCTCCCATTAGCAATTGATCAACTCATTTAATTGAAGAAAATTAATTTGTTGTCTATCCCGATCTAAAGGTAGTCAAAAGAACCAAGTTAAACTTATTTGACCCTTAAGAGGAGAAAAACTTCCTTTTGCCTGTTACACCGCGTAACGAATGCATTTGGACTGTCATATATATTCGTGCATGTATTATATGCATGGCGCGTGTTGTACGGTAATAAAGGGTTGGTTGTGCCCATTGCACGATGCAACCTCAATCTCAGAAAGAAAATTCTCCCTTAAGAGATGACCGAAACTGTGAAGCGTGCAAGGCGCCAACTTTAAGGTGAATTCCTAACCACAACATAATGTGGATGGTGCATTGTCATTGTAATTGGGAGCTCATGCTAATTAGGGTTTGAATTTCCCTAGAGATTTGATCCAATCTAGTGTCCATTTTTAATTGGTTTGAATTTAATTTTGAAACCAATTTTTTTTTTTTTTTTTTTTTTTTTTTTAAAGAAAAGACAAAAAAAAAAAAAAAAAAAAAAAAAAATAGTAGAAGTAAAAACGAATAGGATATAAATATTCCTTAAACAATCGATCACAAATTCAGGGCTTAAGAAAAAGAAAAAGTAAAAACGAATCGAATTATATATATGCCTTGAAAAATCAATCACAAACACAAATTCAGGTCTAATTTAGATATGAATATGTTGAAACGAATCCAAAGCAAGTATATAACATCATATAATTGGAAATTGGAATGTCGCCCATCAGCTATATAATAAAGTAAATGACACATTTAATTAAGATTTCAACTATTAAACACGACACATTCAATTAGGATTAGGACTCATGCTATTCGAGTCATTTCAAACACGAACAAAGTATGTTTACCTCACATATTTTAGTTAAAACAGGTCTCAAACTCAACTACCTGTTCAAATAGTTTTAATCATTGCAACCCCTAATTCACAGATTTGAGGGGGAAAAAAACATAAATTTTCCGCATTGCATCAACCATACATCAATGACAGAGAGAGAAAATGGGATGACAATCAGAAATAAAATTCCACTTGTTAAGGGGACACCTACCACACACACAAACTGGAAGAAAATTTGAATTCTTATGAAGGTCTAAAGACCACCAGTTCCAGCCATCTGAAAATTTTCATTCCCATAGTTTCCATCCAACACAAAGAACATGGGGTTCTTTATTTGCCATTTCTCGGCATAACCCACCAAAAATACATTCGACTATCGGCTAATACAAGATTCACATAATACCTTTCATTCGCTAATACACAATTTTTTCAACAATATTCACTCTCAAACAGCCAACATCTGCTTATCCTTGCTTTGACGAGCAAGCCTGAGCCGGCTCCAGGATACCTCCATTTTTCCCCCTAATTAGCACTACCAGATTATCATCTCACTCTGTATCGGTAGTGTTCTGCAGATGCAAAGCTTGAACCTTTCCTCTGCAGTGGTACGAGAATGTGGTTAGCTTTTTGATGATACAAACACCACTAAACAACAACGAGAGTGCCATTCAAAACTAACCAAAACTGAAGTATTAATCCAAGTGACCGCAAGTACAACACTTGAAAAGAATGTCAAAAAGCATTTGTTTCAAGGGCCAAACGCCCAACACAAATAAATAAACAAGAAAGTAGCAATATAACAGCTAACATAGATATAACGGAATATGATTCGTATTTGTAATGACCCACATGTCATTTCACCTTAATAAGGAATATTCCTGCATATGAGAAACAGCGGAGAAAAACCGAGTAATCTGGAGAGGGGGGGAGAGAGAGAGAGCTTTAGCCGAGACTCAGCACATTTCCTAAAAGCAAAAGCATTGACTTCGCATCACAAGGAAAAGTATCAAAAAATAGAACTGCAGCAAGATATTCGAACAAATACTCCAACAAATTATGAACATGCATGCACCCCAAGTTTGTTGTATGAACTAACTATATGAAAATTACAGGGTTCTTGAAAACCATATAGACCTCGAACCTGTCTAGATGGATTTCTTCTTTCTTTTGCATATGTCCTTTCCATCATTTAGTAAAACTAGTAGTTGTTTTTAGAATAAATTCCAGTGACCTTCCTTGAGGTTTGACATATTTTCATGAACCGTCATTCTTATTCCAAGAATTATGTACTCTCCTGCATAGACACTGTTACCATAGATGATAAAATGCTTCAATTATATATTAGAAGATTCCCTAGGTTGGGTTAGGAGTGAATTAGTTAGGCAGAACAGCAGAAAAAATATGAGAGACCATCGTAAATCCAACCCTAACCTTCTTTCTGGTTAATTGTTGTCTCCGCCAACAATGCAATTTCTCTCTCTCTCTCTCTCTCTGTCTCTCTCTCTCTCTCTGCTATCGTCATTCCTCTGATTCTTAAAAAACATACACAACCACAATTAGCACTCCACTTTTGTAATCAACCACCACCCTCTCTCTCTCTCTCTCACACACACACACACCCACACCCCTACACCTATGGTCATTCCTCTGATTCTTGAAAACCATCAAAAACCATTCACAACTGCAACATACATGCCATTTTTATACTCAACAACCACCTCCACTGCATAACGAGAACAAATCAAACTTCATTTATATTAGAATAATGCAGTCGAAAAGAGATGTAAAAAGGTTATATAAGAATCCTTAAGAAATCTTCAAGTTATGTTTTCTTATTAACACTACCTTTACCAGCGAGATTAGCAGGGTAAAAAGGTAGATGGTTGGCATCACATTGACTTTTCCTTGGTAAAGAATAACTACAAATATTGCTTCAATATCCTTTGTAAAGAGTAACAACTGTAAACTATCTACCAAAATCTAGTCAAGCTATATACAAAGTCTAAATAGAAGAGGAACTGACCCATGTCTCTCCTTAAACTCCTATCACTGAAGAGAACCTCGTCTAGAAAGGGGATATAGAGAAGCAGGACATTATCGACCTTTATTTTCTCATTCCAACACCAGACAATATTCTTATTGAAAGAATTCCACTCTCAATGAAAGGCAGGTTAAAACAATGAAATCAAAACAAAATTTTAGATGCTACCATTTTAGCAGCAATAATCCATCTAATTGAGATGTCTTCTGATGGAGCAAGAGAGCAATAGCTGACCAAGTCAATCATAGACTGGAGCAGTAGTTTCACATGCTGCCAAACAGCCTTGCACAAAGACAGTTAAAGCACTCGATTAAACTAACACAAGCAACACAATATCCCAATAATGAATAGACAGAGTCACGGGAAAATCAGTACATAAAGATAGATAATTTGTAGTACTGGGGATAGCTCAATTGCAATGACCAAAAACACCTTTCACCTCTGTAATATAGATCACAAGCTGATAAGCAATATGCAAACTTTACAATATGCTGATTTTTGAACATATGACATAAAACACATAAACTGAAGATATTATATTAAAATAAAGTAATCAATAGTACATGGCAGTCGATAGTCATATAGTTTAGAGGTCCAGCGTAGACTAAAAGGACTAATGCGATGACTACAAGGACTACATATCCATCATAACAATCCCCTTCCCCCTAACAGAAAAGGAAAAAAAAACGACACACTAGACTCATCTATCAAGAAATTGTTAAAGAAAATGGACGCAGAGGATGGAGAATTATTCCAATTCTTCCACTCTGTCCGTCAGACTAAGAAAACATGATAAAGAAACAAGTAAACCTATTTAAAATGCATATCTCCAGTGCTTCCATAAATCAATGACATAAAAGGAACCATGAAGAATGATGCATTCAGAGAAGAGACTTACATTAACGCGGGACAATTAGATAAGTCACCATCGTCAATGTTCTTCTCTTCTAAACATTTATCTCCAGCTCCTCCTTCCTCAGATTGGTTCTCTGCAAACTTTTTCTCTGATTCATTTGCAAACTCTACCATACAAACATCGGCTACACCCTCAGTCTCAGATGCCTCATCATTATTCTCCTTTGCTTCAGCATCCTTCCCAGGCTCATTGTTTTCTTCCACCACCTCCTCATTATTCTCCTCTGTTGAATGGACATCCCCTCGACCGTCACTTTCATTTTCAGATACATTTTCTACCACCTCCTCAGTGATTTCCACCACTGCTTGGTTTCGCTTCTCAAGACTCTGCAACCTCCTCCTCAAATCCCCCAACTCCCTCTCCATCAAGAATAGCCTCTCCTTTAAGATCAGATTCTCTTCTTCCAATTGGGCTATATGGGTATCTTGATCATCCACCCTATTCTCCAACACATTATTGTACCCGACACAACCGGCACCACTGTTCGGGTAAATCATCTCAAAACGGCTCAAATCATGATCCAATCGCCTCTCCACCTCGACATGTTCCTCCACATCACTCTCACTCGATCCTCCTTCCTCTTCTTCCTCATAGTCGTGCACATCTGCATCATTACCAGGCGAGCGAAGCCTAATTAATCCATTCATCGACCCATACCCATCAACCCCCCACTCTTCCTTCGCCATATCCCCCAAAACCTCCCTCGAGGGCGAGAAAATGGGTGTTGGAAGTACTGCGGGGGTTACCGGACAAGGAGAAACCAGTGATGCAATCCCACCAGATTTCTTTGCCCTAATTATAAACGAAGTCGTGTTGCGAGGAGCAAAAGGAGCAAACCTATTATATTTCTTCTTCGGATAGAACTTCCGGGCCTTCAGACGATTCTGCTGCTGCAACTCATTGAGTTTTGGAGGTCTGTAGCCTCCACCACCAGCTCCACCACCACTGACAACCCCGGCAGGACCAATGCCGCCACCGACTATAACTTGCTTTTCTTTCCTTTTTCCATCCTTCCACTTCTCATTCCCTTTCTTTCCTTTGCGATTGCTCCGCCCTGGCGGATTCGCAGCAACAAAACCCTGTTTCATAGGGTTCGGAAACTTCATGGGGTCCATCGAAGTCTGAGGAGACCACATCCCATAGCGTCGATTCAGCATCTGCGGCTTACTCATCCCCTGGGACTGCGACTGATTCATCATCAACTGAGACTGATTCAACATCTGAGACTTCTGATTCATCAACTGAGGCTGATTCAGCATTTGAGAGTTCTGGTTCATCATTTGAGGCTGACTCAGAAATTGTGATTGACTAATTACCGGAGGCTGATTCATTAACTGAGGCTGACTCATCATTTTCGATTTGTTCATCATCTGTGCCTGATCGTTCATTCTTATGGACAACCCTAATCAATCAATTAAGTGAACCAGAAGGAAACCCTAGAAATCGATCGATCAATGAATCAATACTCTACTCAGTTGCCAATTCGAACTGTTACTCTGATCCAAAAAAATCAAAATCTATGGCTAATTTCAAAACGAAAACGTAAATTTAACGGCTAGATACGATCAGATCAGAAACCCTAAAAATCTGAAAGAATTGAGATATATGAATTAGAACAGAGATGTTTTGATGTTCGATTAATGAGTGTGTGTCAAATCTAACGCCACAAACGCATCGATTTTTAGTTTCTCTCTCTAAAAGCAGAAGCTGATCTCTCTCTCTCTCTCTCTCTCTCTCGCTCGATGTTGCGAATAAACGAGTCTCTCTATTAACTTTCCCTTCTCAATAGCTTTGCAGTTGGGGATTAGGCCCTAAATTTATAGGCGGTAGGAAACGGAATGGACGATTGGATTAACGGGTTCAGCTATGGACGGCTGAGATTCAGACCACGTGGCTTACCGCGTCGTCTAAATCGAAATAGGATTCGAAGTGTGTTAAAAATAATTGCCCTTGTATTCGAAGCTAAATTACGAATGAAGAATAAAGCATAGTGCATGTAATAATAATCCCTCCGTCTCAATGTTGTGTCGGTTCCGAGGTCTCAATTTAAGTGTCACTTTTCGGGGAGCAGTAATTTTTAAAGGAGTATATATTGTGTGAAAAAATATTAACTTGTCTTTTAAGTTTTGAATATTAAAATTTTAAATTTTAAATTCAAATGACATATATAAAAAAATATAAAATATATAATTTAAAAAAGGAAAGTAGATTATTATTTTGGAACTGATAAAATAAAAATAGTATAAAAATAAAAAAAACATGACACTTAATTTGGAAGGAAAAGAATGTTAATGAATAAATATATTATTTTATTATGTAACAAAGAAAATAGTAATAAATTACATTCATATTAAGAGTGTGGAGAAAGTTATCTCTATTTGGCTTTTTTCAAAATCTTAGTCCCGGAAGGATTTCTTATTAACTAAATAAATTGTATTTTGAAGAGGTTCAGTTGCTTTACTATCTATGTGACAAGTGGCTGTTTGTTCAATATTTTGAAAAGGTTCAGTTGCTCTACTATCTATGTGACAAGTGGGCGTTTGTCCATTTATTTAAAACGTTAAGTTATTGGATAATACTGTATATCTACTCATTTATACTTATTTATTTTTTCACCATAATCCGATGGGAGACAAGCTCCCCCATGTAACATTCTCTCACACATGAACTCGCAACACCCTCATTACGACTCTTACCACCCTGCCTACTCGGGGTAAAGACCTGGGTGCCCTCTGGACCAAGTGTTTGACGTGGCACTTGATCAAGAACTGGGTTTGCCTCTGATATCAACTGTAACGGGTGAGCGCTTACCCATTTATTCAAAAACTTAAACTATTGGGTAATATTGGTAAAAAATTGTTTTTCGGAGTTTTCTTACTACCAATTAGGTAACTTGGTAATGCTCCCACTAAGTACATGACATGTGTTTAAGGGAGTTTCTGCCCTGCCCCTAATGGGACGAATTTGGTAGCTCCCAATATGAGTTTAAGGTGGATATGGTAAAATAATTGGAAATTCAAAGCAGATTTGGGGCATGGGCAAATTTAGTGGTGAAACCACCCTGCCTTAATTATATATATACCTTTAAAAAAATTATGTATATATAAAATATATACTTAAGAACCTTGTTTTTTTGCCGGAAGTGTCCACTTAATATATTATATTCATTACTTAGTAATTTAAAAATTGGGTCAACTTATTTATTAGTCAAATTTGAGCCTCTTTTCTTTTTTCTTTTCTTTTTTTTTTTTAACTAAATAATAAAAGTGGCATAACCCGTCCCACCCTGCCCCCACCCATGCCCTACAATTAAACGGATTACGCGTGGTGAAATTGGTACTTTGTTTGCCAAAGTAAGGATGGAGATAGTAAACCAATTACAAATCATTCCGGATTAGGGGCGGAGTTGGTATGATAGATTTTCTAACGGGTGAAGTAGGGTTTAGCAATACCCGCCTCAACTCCGTCTCATTGTCATTCCTAATAATCATAGATGGACCTATTAAGGGCTCAATAAGACAATCGCCGGTACTAAAAGAAAAGAAAAAATGATTTACAAAATTGACTATAATTTTTGTTAAAATCTTAAAAATAACACTACTGTATTTTTTATAATACTCATACAATTTTTTGGATCCCGGTTATAATTCCATGGATCTCCTCTATGATTCTAAAAAAAATTTATGACCTCTTCTAAAAAGTAATCATGCCATTCAATGGTCGGGAGGCAATTGCCCCCACTTAATTTTTTTTTAAAAGTAATATACTCTATTAATTTATATTTTTGATATATACCTATAAAATTACACTACCGCCCGAATAAAATTATTAAAAAATTATCCTATTGCCCCCTCTCACACAATTTTCTAACTTCCTCTCTCACAATGACTTTCCTTTTTAATGGTTAACGCTAATCAATGACGAAAATCTTATGTCAAGCTCTCAAAATTAATTAAGAGCACATTAGATTTTAATGACTAAATCTAAATAAAATTCCTCTAAAGTGAATCCAAAGTAAAGAAAAAAAAAAAAAGGAGTTGAAAAAGAAAAAACAAGAGGAGGAGAGAGGGAGATGAATCCAAGTTTGCCAGCGTGTTGGCTAGTAATTAGCCTAGAATCGTGTAATAATTTGTCCTACAATGTATTCATGTGAAAGAATTGTTATTTTAATAATGTTGACCAAACTGTTCATTTTTTATTTTTTATTTTTGTAAACAATCTATGTTTGATACACGCCCTTAAATTTTCAAGGTTCCATGCTAAGTAACTCTTCTAATGTTTAAATTATTTAATTTTTTCTTTTAATTAGTGCAATTTTGAATCTATATTTTGCTTTTTCTAATTTTATCATTGATTTATCCATCGTACTATTTTCATTGCCTGCAGCTACATGAATGTCCAACAAACTCCAGGAGACAATAAAATTTAATTGCCCTAAAGAATTATTATTATTATTTTTTAAAATTTATTTGATGTCCTTTTGTCACATAGGAGGATACACCTACCTTTCCTCATTTTGTCCATCCTTTCGAACCCCTCTTTAACTGTTAATTAATTAACAAACAGAGGATACACTTCCACAAAATATAAAATTCCAATTGTAGATTACCGTTTGGATTGATGTGGGTCTTGTTTTACATGGCAAAGAGGGGGAATGATGGGGTGAGTCGAATTGGGTTCCACACAACTCCGTGAGTCTCTGTACCAATTGGGTTACCTAGCTTATCCCGTATTGGTGTGTCCTACAAAGTAATTTAACATTTATATTTAATAAATTTTAAATTACTCATCTTCATACATGTGGATTTTTATTTATTTATTTATTATTTTTATTATTTTTATTTTCACACGTTGAGTTCGAACCCCTCCCCTCCTCTTTGAGGATAGTGGGGTTATACCAACGGCTTACAAGTCCTTTGATGTGATTCATTTAATCATACGAAAACTGCAAAGTTTTTCCAGAAAAAAAGATTTGCTAATTGAAAAGTTTTTAGTCCAGGTTGCCGGCAAAGTAACAAAATATGTTTTACATAAAGAAGTCAAAATTTAGCTTCAAAACAAATATTTGCAAGATGACAAGCTCTAACATCTACTTTTTTTATTTTTTATTTTGATATTGAGTATATTAAAGGAGAATCAAATTTAGTTCCTGATTTTTTTACTCGTAAAATGCTTCCCCAAAAAGATAAAAATACCCAAACCAAACCCAATCAACTCGAAAAATTAGACTAAGTATGCTCTCAAATTCTCTTAAAGATACTGTAAAATTAGGGAAACAAGAGGCTGAGTGTTGACTTTAGCTAAGGGAAACAAGAGGTTGAGGTTGGGTACCTTCTCCGGCCTGCAATCATTTTGAAACTCTCGCCCAGTCTCCACTTAAAATCGCCTAAAGGGGAAGCATTTCTACCCTATCTCCGCTCTATTTAACCTTTTCACCTTGCAGGCACTCGCCTTGTTTAGTTTCAGACTTGCCCCTCATTTTTTAAATTTTTTCCTCAAATACAATTCAATAATTAAACATAAAATTCAAGGGTACGAGCATTCTTAATTCGTGTGGCTCTGTAGCTCTCTAAAACGGTTTAAAAAGTAAGTGAATGTGAACTAAGATTTTTAGGATTAACTATTTGTATTAATAAAATAAGAATAATTTAATAATTTATCAATTTAAATGGGCGCGGGACGGGGCGACCTCCCCCACCCCTGCCCTTGCCCCGTCCCAAAATCGTGCGAATTTTTATTAATAAAAATTATTCCCGCCTAAATAAGCTAAATGGTCCTCCAAAATCAATTTAAACAAGACGGGGTGAGGTGGGTAGCCGTCCCCGCGAAGCAAATTGCTATCCCCACCCATTACTCGGACCAAAGAAGCTCAAAAAGGTAAACAAGGGACAAGCCCATTACAAATAACAAAACAAATAACCAAAATTAACTGCTTGATTAATTAGTGGTTTGCGTGAAACTTCTCGTTGATGATCAAAACTAGGTACAATTATTTCTCCTTATTTTTCCTTATTTATTTATTATTATTATTTTGATACAATAAGTATAGTATGATCTATTCATCTCTCATCTCCAAAATAAGAGGTTGAGTGTTGACTTTAGCTAAGGGTAAATATTACAAGCGGATATGCTTTTTGTGTGAACTTTTAGGGAGAAAAAAAAAAAAAAAAAGGTGGTTATTCGACACATTTATCTCTCTATATATTTTTAATTTTTCTTTTTATTTTTGGTCGGCAGATTCCTTTTTAAAATTGAACAGTCAATTTTCTCCCCAACCTTTTTCACGTACAAAGCTAATAATCGATGCTTCCATTTAACTTTATCTCATGGAGAATTAAATTCCCTAACCTTTCTTTTCTGCTTTACTTTATTATTATTATTATTATTTATATTTTCATTACAATAATATTTACAGCTTTTCTTCTCATACTCTTGCTATGAAAACCCTAAAATGGTCCCTCTCCTTTGTCTCGAATCTCATTTAGCTCCTTCAATCCTACCATAGTGATATTGGAAAAATAAAAAATAAAAAATAACCTACTCTAACCACATATGCTTAATTGTTTAAAAAATTTCCACCATAAATACCAATGGCAAATAATGGTTTCAATTTTTATTTATTTATTTACAACAATGAAAAAGAAAAAAGAAAAAAAAAAAAAAGAAGTGGCAAATTAAAAGAAAGTGTCAACAAGAAGTTCAACCCTAAAAGCATAGATGCCTTTCAACCTTTACATGACATATATTTGTCCATTAACAACATGTCACTGCTTCTAGGGTAGTAGTATCACTAGTAAAT